AATCTAATTAATTACCCTTAATTACGTTACACAGGAAAAATGAAATGTGTCATCTAATTAATTTTTTCCTTAATTACATTCATGCAGGGAAAAGGAAAGTTGAGTAGATCCTCAATGATGTTCCCTCCTGCCCAAAGAATGGATACCCTTAATGATTTACTTGCTGCAAGTGACCTTATTTCTCTTCACTGTGCTTTGACAAACAAAACAATTCAAATTATTAATGCAGATTGTTTGCAGCATATAAAGCCTGGTACGTTCCAGGGTTTCTTCCATTTAGTACATTTATTTTATAAAGAAAAATATTGTGATTCCTATAACTTGCACTTACAGGGGAGTGCCTTGATTTATGCAGGGGCATTTCTTGTGAATACAGGTAGCAACCAGCTATTGGATGATTGTGCAGTAAAGTAGTTTCTGATTGATGGTACCCTTGCAGGCTGTGCTGTGGATGGTGCTGAAGGACCATAATGGATGGAAGCATGGGTATGATGAGTAGCCTTAGGGTATGAATTACAAGATGATAAAATGTTTGTTAAGAGTATGTATGTTATCTTCTAGGTAGGACTTTTTGACATGATTTATATGGTTGTGTGTGATTGCTTGGCTGATGTTGGTAAAATTAAACCCTTTTTCATTGTGCATTGTTATGGGTTAAAATAAGGCATATTTATGAAGACGGTCATGTTATTTGATGATGGCATAGTTTTGGTTGTGTTTTTTTACAATGCTTCACACATGTTTGCATAAATTCCCCACTCAAACTACATATTATTTTTCTACTTCTGCTTATTTTGGTTAACTTCACTCACTATCTTCTTCGACTATTTTAGTACCAATAAAAAGGAAAAAGAGATGTGATTGTTTAGATTGTTATTTGTAATGTTTCCTAGGGAGTTCCTTTTGAATTGACCATGTAATTTGGTTGTATTATTAATGCAGGAGCCCCTCAAAGTTTCAAGACTTTCCAAGGAAATTATTAAAGTTTCTTCTAGTTATCATCACTTCTATGCCATTACAGGTTCATAGTTCTTGCTAGATACTTCATTTGTCATGGTTTCATGGGGCCCAAGAATATTTACATGTTTTTCAATCTATATTCACAATTCATGCTGTAACGCCCTCAAAATAACAACATTAAACCCATCAATAAAGATATGCATTGATATGTAAAAGTTCCACATTCTTCCATTTATCAGAGTTCCATTACAAAAGTATTACATGTTAACAACAAAAGCAAATGCCCTATGGGCTTACAGCTTTCCAAGTTAACACTTGGTTACAACAAAAGAGTACTAACTCATTTACACATTAAGCCCTTGGCTTGAATTTACATGTAATACATAAAAAAAAAAACGACAAAAGTATGTCCGCCTCTAGCCTCCCAAGCTATGTCCTTGGAGGTGGCATACTACCTGTACTTGAAAATGATATTCCCATATAGGGTGAGCCACAACCCAGTAGAAATACACTAAACCAACCATGAACAATGACTAAAAGATTAGCAATTGATAGATGGCCAACACTGATACATTCACATAAATCACATATTTATGTCATACGACTGATGAGTCTAAGTTACTTTTCATTTTCCCCCTTTTCAACAGATAGACATATAAGCTCTATCCACATTCTCAACAGATATGTATAACAACAATATCCACAGATAAGCATAAAAATATAAGCTATATCCACACTTCACAAAGATAAGCATATGCTGAGCCATCAGGTTTCCTCAGTATACTGAGTGGTGTCACTCCCTCAATATACAACTTGGCCTCTGCGAA